TGCATTATGAAGGATCAATCTCCTTGTATAAATACCCATCCGGGGTTACCTTGTAAAGGGTCGGATTCTTAAATAACATCTCGTCACTCTGCCTCTTTTTCGGCATCACCTATTTCACTTTGTTACCCTAATATTTTACGGTAGTGTTGGCCCGCCGATCGGTTGCTCTAAGTCGTAAAACCAACATTGGCGCCGTTTGTGGGGATCGAAACTAAAGGTCCCATCTCTAAGCTTCACTAATGGCTCATACCCGACGTAGTAGTCGAGACGCCGGTCGAAACGCTGTTGCCTCGGTAGCCAACGGGCATGTCGCTCGCAGGTAATTGCGTCTCTATAAGAGATCTAAGGGAGCAGTTGAGCCGTCGTGCTTCTAGTGAAAGATTGGCTGCATGTACCGAGGGTACTTTCGTGCCAACACAAGAGACACCGGGGTGGAACCCTCCACCGCTTGCTGCATAGGCCGAACCCACCTTTTGCGGAGTTGTTGGCACATCCTTTGACGCGTATGAACGTAGAGTTGGTCAAGCACCCAGCGCCGCTCATCCCCGACCAATGCGGTCAGTCCCCACCGCAAACATGAACGCCGTAGCCTCAGAGCACTCGGTACGATCGGAGGGGCGCTCGCCGAGTCACCCTCGAGCGTCCCGCTCCGTTTACTCGTGGCTTGGCCCTGTAGGCCCCGCCTAGTCAGTTATGGATCGGCTGGGTAGTTAAGCCAGGCAACGCTACCCCGCTCAATCGGTCAGGAGGGGAAGAGAGCCAATGCGGGCAGTCATCAAAAGAAGGATAGCTGCAAGGCACTGCCAGGAAGTAGTTGAACGTACTGGAGAATCACTCATGCTATAATAACAGCTTACCCCGGGAATGGTCGACCTAGCGGTCGTAGTCAATGAGCTACGACAAAAGATAGAAGGAAAAGATAAGTCGACTGCTAAAAACCTGCTGATCACATCCCCGCTTTCGGCAGAAGTATTGGCATAGAAGGTTCCGGCTGGGTTCAAACTGCTCGATCACCCTACTTATGATGGATCTGGAGATCCGCGCAATCATGTGATCAGATTCCAAGCTAAGATGTAGGTGATCGGGGCTGATGACCCAATAATTTGTCGAGAGTTCTTTCCCACTCTGGTAGGGCCCGCTCAGCGGTGGTTCTTGAAACTCTCCCCAGGGTCAATCGCCAATTTTGAGGAATTGGTCGACCAGTTCCTGACGCACTTTGCAGGAAGTATGAAGCCCAAGAAGTACATCTTGGATTTATCCCGAGCGCACCAGGATGAGGGAGAGAGCCTGCGTAAATACATAGCACGCTGGCAGAAGGAGGCCCAGGCAGTTGAGGGCCTTGATGACAAGACCGCTTAGACAGTCTTCATCGAATCCCTCTAAGCGAATGAGAATCCCAAGACATATGCTCAGGTTATTCAAAGGGCCAATCAGCTAGTAGACACGGAGGAAGCAGTCAAGCAAAGGCGTAAGTAGGAGGTCTCCACCAACAAACGGCCCTGGTCGGAAAATGTCTAGGATAGTCAACCGGAAGAAGCTAGTGGTACGTGCGTGAGAGCTCGTCGGGTGCAGGACCGATTGGGAGCTCTCGCGTACCGACCGGCGGCACAGCCCATTCATGAAGTTCTTGTTCAGTTACCACCCCCCGTTAGACTATGAGACAACCTACAAGTGGTCGATGCGAGCATGACCCTTTATTCCAGATATCACCGCACGAATACTCACACTACTGAAAACTGTGAGGGCCTCAAGGAAGAGATTGAGGCGCTAATGCAGTGTAGTCAGCCGTTATCCCCCAACCAATGGCGCCGACTAGGCTTGCCTTGGCATAAGGATGCCCCTGCCCGACCGGCATGGGAGGCGGTAAATAAGGGCAAACATCCTGTCCAAGAAGAAGACTCGGACAATAACTGGAAGCATAAACCAATTATCAAAATGATCGTCGGCGGCCCCGAAGGTGGCGATACCGCAAGTGCCGGGAATGCTTGGGCCGGACAGTTGTATGTGGGAGCGATAGCCTTTCAGGAGTTGGATCGTAAGAAAGCTTGCCGAGAGCTGATCATCTTCACTAACGATGATTTGTCCAGGGGCCCGACTCCTCATCATGACGCCCTGGTCATTGCTATGGACATTCAGGGAGTGATCATCCGCCGCGTGCTGGTGGACATGAGGAGTAGTGTTAACGTGTTGTATCTAGAGGCGTATAATAAGGTAGGATTTCCTCTAAAGTGATTGCGGCCGGTCAAGACTCCCCTGGCCGGGTTTACTGGTGATGCTATCGATGCCAAGGGGTGTACCTCACTACTAGTGGAGATGGGCACTTGGCCCCATGTTAGAAAGTTATAAATGGAATTCGTAGTAGTTGCCTTAGAATGCACGCACAACGTGATACTCGGTCAACCGGGTTTGGAGGACTTAGGCGCCTTGGTCTCCATTGAGCATTTATGCATGAAGTTCCGCACACCGACTAGCATCCAGTAGTGCGATGTGACCAGAAAGTGGCCCGAAGCTGCTACCTAAGCCTGTAGGAAGGTGAGGCAAGGTTCGTTGCGGGTTAACACGACCGCTCATCAGTTGAATGAGCGCCTAGCGGAACGCTCGGCACCAGCTGTGGAGCTCGAGGAAGTCATGCTGTATCCCGACTGCCTAGAGAGAAAGGTCCAAATTTGGACCGGATTGCCCGAGCCCGTGAAGCAAGCAGTCATTGGCATTCTAAGGGCCTACAATGAAATATTCGCTTGGGGGCCCGAGGACATGCCAGGAGTTGACCGTTCAATCATAACCCATCGGTTGGCAGTCGATCCCGGCCTCAAGCCTGTAGCACAGAAGAGAAGTATCTATCAAATGACCAAAGAGACTTTGTAAAGCAAGAAGTAGATACCTTGTTGGCTGCCGAGCATGTGTGGGGCGTGAAATACCCCGGCTGGCTGACTAACGTAGTGTTGGTGCCCAAGCCGCCGACATGGAGGAAGTGTGTGTACTACACGTGTAACACCCCCTATTTCTAAACACAACTTAAAGCACAACTTAAACAAGCAAAGGAAATGCAAAACCTCACCGCGGATCCTAGAATTCTTACAACTTAAATATCCCGATTAGCTTAAGTTTTTAAGGTCAATTCCGAATCTCTTATGGTTCCAATCTCAAAGTGCTATCCTAGGCTCCAACCTAGGTTCTTAAAGTCCAACTCTTAACATCCTAGGCTCGACCTAGGCTCTGACTTAACACCCCCGATTTCTAAACACAACTTAAAGCATTAACTGGGCAAAGAAAGGTAAACAAAGTTTAACTTATATAAATAAATTGCGAAAGCTATGTCAAAACAAACGGGGATTCTATGCCACATTTAGGCTATCAAACCCAAATGCACAGGCTAGTCTAATCCTCAAACATAACAATCATAATAAGACAGGGAAACTAGTCAAAATCTGTCAAAACAACATAAGTTCCATGTTGCCTCTTAAGTTGTGCTTGTGGCTAGTGCACCTGGATGGTGTGTGTTATAGAATGTTTAATATTGAGAATCCTATATATTAGGAAACCTAGAGATTAGGGTTTGGGGTGTATGGAAACTTCCATATCAGTTGCCATCTTGCCCCTACATATATAGAGAGATGAAATCTCCCTAACGTGTGTGAGATAGAGAGAGCTGCTCCAAGGTATTTTATTCTAAAACCTATTCACATGGTATCAAAGCCACTTCAATAATCTTTTTTTTCCGGCGATCTCCTGTCGTCACCGCTGGTTTAGAAGGGTCCGCCGGAGTCCGGCGACCACAGCTGCGGAGTTTCTCGGCGAACTGCCCTGTGCGTGGGCCTCACGCGCCGCCGTCGCCGCCGCCACCTCCCCCACGAGCCGGCGCGTGGGACGTCTCCGGCCACCGGGAAATTTTTCCGACGAACGTTTCTAGGTCGCCTAAGTCCCCTCTTCTCAGTTCTGGACTTAGTTTGGACCATCACCGCTCCGGTTCTAAGGTTAGGTTGTTTCGTACCTCTTCAGGCTCACTTTTCGGCATAGATTCTGATCTGTTTGGGCTTAAGTTTTGGTGGGTATGACTGATAATAAATCTGTGGTTGTAACTGATATTGTTCCTGTGACTTCTAAAATCACGGATTGTAAGCTTAATGACTCTAATTACTTGGAATGGACTCAAGTCATTAATCTTTATCTCACTAGTTTGGATAAGTCCGATCACCTAACAACATCTTTGGCTGATCAAGAGCTTACTTGGGTGCGGGATGATGCACGTCTATTTCTGCATATTCGTAATTCTATTGATGAGAGTATTGTTGGGTTCATTAGTCATTGTGGTTCTGTTAAGGAATTGATGGAGTATTTGGATTATTTGTACTCTGGGAAGGGGAATATTACTCGTATTTATGATGTTTGCAAGTCTTTTTACCGTGCAGAGAAACGCGATTTATCTCTTATGGCGTACTTTATGGAATTTAAGAAAACGTATGAGGCACTTAATAAACTAATGCCTTTCACTACTGACATTAAAACACAGCAACAACAGCGTGAACAACTGGCTGTTATGAGTTTTTTGGCAGGTCTCCCCTCTGAGTTTGATACAGCTAGGTCCGCCATTCTTAGTACCTCAGAAGTCCCTACTCTGGCTGCTGTATTCCCACGTTTGATTCGATCGGAGCAATTGCAACCAAGTCTGTCCGGAGTTACCATCCCACCAACCAGTGCACTCGTTGGCCGCCATCCTCGCGGTGGGAACCCCCAGGGGCAATCATCCAATCCGCCTCATAGTGGGAATAGTAGAAATTCCCAATGGCACAGTTCCGGTGGTATTGTGTGTCATTATTGCCATAAGCCCGGACACATAAAAAGAGACTGTAGGAAGTGGTTGAAGGAGCGGGGAAATTCAGCTGCTAATGTTGCGTATACACCTGAGGCATCTTCCAAAACGGTCATGGTCTCTGTGGATGAGTTTGCCAAGTTCTCTCAGTACCAAGAATCTTTAAAACATTCATCATATTCGGTCACCGCTATTGCTGACTCAGGTAATACAACCACATGCCTTCTCTCGTCCGCATCCAAATGGGTTATAGATTCGGGTGCTACAGATCATATGACAGGTAACTCGAGTCTATTTTCCACGCTCTCTTCCCATCCACATAGTTCCCCTGTCACCTTAGCGGATGGATCCACCTCTCGTGTGGTCTGGGTCCATTACGCCAATCCCCACGCTTCCCTTGTCATCTGTCTTACACCTACCTAATTTTTCGTTCAATTTAATTTCAGTCAGCCAGCTTACTCGTGTTTTAAACTGCTCTATTACGTTTTTCCCCGATCATTGTTTGTTTTAGGATCTTATGACGAAGAGGGTTATTGGTAAGGGGCGTGAGTCTGGAGGTCTCTACGTTCTTGACACAGCGAGGCCGGAGTCTGTTGCTTGTTCTGGTGTTGTCACTCCAGTTGAAGCACATTGTCGTTTGGGGCATCCTTCCCTTCCCTTGTTGAAGAAATTGTGTCCGCAGTTTTCTAGTTTGTCTTTTTTACATTGTGAGTCATGTGAGTTTTCTAAGCACCATCGTGTGCATTTGAGTCCTAGGGTTCACAAACGAGCGTCTGCTCCTTTTGAGTTAGTACATTCTGATGTTTGGGGTCCATGTTCTGTGACATCTAAACTTGGTTATAAGTATTTTGTTACATTTGTTGATGATTTTTCCGCATAACTTGGTTATATCTAATGCAGTCTTGTTCTGAATTGTTTGATGTGTTTTGTGGGTTCTGTTCTGAAATTGAAACTCAATTTGGTATTCCTGTCAAAATTTTGCGTAGTGACAATGCTAGAGAATAATTCTTGCATCCTTTTGCCTCTTATATGCGTGGGAAAGGTATGATACATCAGTCCTCTTGTGTTAACACACCTTCCCAAAATGGGGTGGCTGAGCGCAAGAATCGGCATCTGCTTGAAACTGCAAGGGCCTTGATGTTTCAAAGGGGGGGGGGGGGGTTCCCAAGCAGTTCTGGGCTTATGCTGTTTCCACAGCCTGTTTCTTGATCAATCGTATGCCCTCTGCAATTTTGGATGGGAAAACTCCTTGTCATACTCTGTATCCTTCGAAACCTTTGTTTCTATTGACCCACGAATATTTGGTTGCGTGTGCTTTGTTCGGGATGTCCGTCCCAATGTCTCCAAGTTAGATCCAAAGTCTTTGAAGTGTGTATTTCTTGGTTATTCTCGTGTGCAAAAGGGATACGAATGTTACTCTCCTGAGCTTGGTAGGTACCTTGTTTCAATTGATGTCACCTTTCATGAGGATGTTCCTTTCTTTCCTGCATCTCCTGATGTTATTCGTGAGGGGGAGGGAGATGATATCTTGATGTATACGGTCAAATCCTCTGTTCCTATCTCTGTTCCTACTCCTCCTGTCTTACAGGTGTATTCTCATAGACCTCGGCCTGCTGCACCCGTTCCGGCACCACCTCCTGCTTCTCTTCCGGATCCGGTACTAGCTTAATGCCCTGAAACCACCTCTGTGTCATTTGATCCAGTCTTGGATGATGATCGTCCGATTGCTCAACGGAAAGGTAAACGTAGTTGTACTTATCCTATTTCCTCTTTTGTGACATATGATCGGTTGTCATCTGCCTCTTGTTCTTTTATTGCTTCCTTTGATTCTATTCTAATCCCTAAAACTGTAAAGGAGGCCTTGTCCCATCCTGGGTGGCGAAATGCAATGATTGAAGAGATGAATGCTTTGGATCACAAAGGTACTTGGGAGTTGGTCACTAAGCCTGCAAATAAGAAGCCTATTGGTTGTAAATGGGTGTTTACCGTAAAAGTTAGTTCTGATGGGTCTGTGGCTCATTTGAAAGCCTGCCTTGTGGCTAAGAGATATGCCCAAACTTATGGGGTTGATTATTCTGACACTTTTTCTCCTGTGGCTAAGCTTACTTCTGTCAGATTACTCATTTCTATAGCTGCCATCAATGATTGGCCTTTACATCAGCTTGATATCAAGAATGCCTTTCTGCACGGGTGTAACACCCCAGATTTTCAAGACATTTAAAACTTATAATAAAGGTAGAATCTTATTAAATCCCAAGATATAAATACAAGCGTTCGGGGTGCTATGCCACACCTGGGCTAGAGAACCCAAGTGCACAGGCTAACTAACTAATATCCTCAAAGCGTGAATACGTAAACGTGGCACGCAGGCCAAAAGGGAAACTATCTACTTCTAAGTTCTAGCGCACTCCAGTGACTTAATCTTCTGTGCCTGAAAGCCAAATATATCTGTTCAGCGAGAGATGCTAGTAACCCACTCCAACGCGTTGAAATACAATACATATAGAGATATATATAGATATACGAAAACCATTTTGAGCATGAAGATATATCCTACGAACTCTAGCTTTTAAAACCGGGAATGACTCGACAGATAAGGCCAGACACAAGCAACAGTTATAACGAGCATATGCAGTTCACAACAGATAAGGCAGATAAGGCAAAGCATAAACAATGATCATAACCCAACATGAACAATCCCCAATATAAATCCCATAGTCACATCCTCCAAGACACTCGTAATCACAACTCGTCCCCGTCACAACACATAACACACTTTGTTGGCGCCACAGGACCAATCGCATGCCCATACATGAGGGTCAGCGCATATAGCTCTGACACGGCCCCGCAGCACCCTGCCCCGTAACGCAACACGGAGGGGTCGATCGCAACCGACCGATGAACCGCAGCTCATCATAGTGTTTGATCGCAACCAAACAGTGGACCGCAGCCCAAGAGAATGTCATCTGACCGCAGCCAGGAAAAAGGACGAACCGCAGCTCGTATAGAAACGTTTGATCGCAACCAAACGGTGGACCGCAGCCCAAGAGTATCGATCTGACCGCAGCCAGCTTCTGAACCGCAGCTCAGGATAACCAATCCGATCGCAACCGAATTGGGGTAACACACACACATAACACATAGCAAGCACATGCAACCCACATTACACATTGGGAAGGGGGAGGAAGCGTATAACAAAACTTATGCGTGATCCATCACATACTAAGAATAGTCCTAAGGGGTTCATACTTCTTCCACCTAGGTCAACGGGATACCAATTCAACTAGCATGCAATATAATAGACTCGTAAACCTATGAACGGCACCCGAAATATCAAACTAGACATAGGCACGATAAACGGAGTCCGTTGGGACACCACGGGGAACGGGGGAACATCAAACGGGGAAGCCGGGATCCCGAGGTGGGATAATTTACAGCGGGTAGCTGGTGGGTGGGGGGCCACCCGCCGGATGATACTGTTCCGGGCAGCGGGTCACCGGCGGGTAGCTGCCCGCCCGCCGGCTACCCGCTGCCGGGCGGTGTTTCTCGGCCGTGGGTAGGTGGCGGGTCCCCTACCCCCCACCTACCCCCCACTGACTCTCTTCATCACTTTACGCCCCGGGAACCGTTGTGGAACCCGAAACCATGCTTAGACACTTTACAACGCAATTAACGACAACACGTAGACAATTAACGAATCAAATACAAGAAACGGACGGCACATAACCTATCATGCTTTTCTAAATATAATCAACACCCAAACATGCGATTTCCCCACCCGATAATCCAAGAATAAGATCATACGATACAACCTAGGGTTCTAATCACTTTTATATCAACAAGAATACGGTTCGTCTTCTAATTGCAAGATTCGATAAGAGTAACACATAAACATCAAGAGCATCACACAATTATCAAGAACAACACATAATCATCAAGAACTCCATATAATCATCAAGAATCTCCCAATATCAAGATTATCAAGATCCCCCATGGGATCATCACATCAATTACCAATAATCATCATCATAACTCGCCAATATACAATAATATGGGGGAAACCCTAAGGGGGAATTATAACTATGAAAATAGGTTTTGTTGAGACATGGGTTACCTCTTAGCCTTAATTAATTCCTTGGCTATGAAGGATCTTTCTTTAAGCTTTCTTGATTTCTTGATTTCTCCTAGGGGAATTCTTGGAACTCTTTGGGTGGTGAGAGATTAATGTGGTGGGGATTCTAGGTGCCTTCTAAGTTCCCTATTTATATATTTAAGACTCCTAGTTAGGGCCTGAATGGTATGGGTTTACTAATTCTATTCCTTATAGGGCTAGGGCTTGTTTTAGGGATAAGGGTCCATGGTCCATAGTGGACCATATTAATTAAAGAGAATCCTAATCCTAATCTGAATAGTAAAAGGCCTACCTCTTTTATTCCTAATAGGCTTAAGACTCTTATTCGGGCAAGGGTCTACGGTTCATGGTGGACCTCGCTATTTAATTAAAGGTAACCCTAACATAATTAAATCATATTTAATTATTATTAATGGGATTAATTAAATAATTAATCCGGGATTAAAGGCCGTAACACGGGGTGTTACACTCTCCCCCCCCTTACGAGAAGCTTCGTCCCCGAAGCTTGGAAATCGTTGCAGGGTTAACGAGTCAAGAGTAGAACCGTGGTCCTATAGAGAGGGTATTCCACAGGGAAATTGTATACTTGTACGCCTATGCGTGTTGGGTTTTTGGGAACGATTAGATTTACAGGGCTAAGAGAGTGGGTTTCAAACTTGAGGATACGGTGAATTCAGGAATTAGGATCGAGTTTTCAAGGTTGCAACTTAGGTTGTGAGGTTGCCACCTTGTATGGAATCGTTAAAACATGGGATTACGAATGGGGTATGAAGGTTAGAAAGGGTTTCGAAATAAGGAGGGGGCCGATTTTCCGAGGAAGGGAAAGGAATTCGGCTAGGATGGGTTAAGGTTTCTCGATCCCAGGTGAATAATCTGGCTAGATGCTTTGATCACGATGCGTCGACGAGCTGATGATCCTCCTTCCTTGGTGTTGGTACTTGCTTGAATTTAAGATCCTTGTTAGACCTTGCTTCCCGGGCTAAGGTTTCATCCTTCTCTTCTTTCTTGAGGGAAATTCTCGTGGTGATTCAACACTTACTTCTTTACTGCGCCCAAGGTCTTGACCAAGTTGGGTCAACTAAGCCACTCTCTTAGGGCGCACTTCCCAAATTCTTCCCAAAGTCTCTTGGGAGTCGATGGACTTTGGGTTGAATTTCATCTCCTCTTTAGTGGATGAAATTCTTAGTAAGACTTCATGTCTTACCCGAGGTTCGGCATTGTTGTGCCCTTTTGTGTTACTTTTAATGATAAAGGTGTCCTTGTGTGCCCTTTTTTCTTTTTTAAAGCGCAGTCGGTTACGAAATCTCGTTGTGGGATGACTCGGTGACTTTACGAGTCATCTCATTTCCTTGTGGGTCCTTAATGACCCTTGAAGTCTTGGCGCGAATGTGCTCTTCACCCTTTTGCTTAGCACCATGGACTACGTAGTTCTTGATTCCATACAACTTGTAAGGAGTCCTCTGATTTGCTCGAACGATGTCCATGGTTTGGAGGAGTCCCGGTCCATCCTTAGCATTTTGACTTTTAAGGTTTTCGTGGGTTCTTTGCACGAGTTCCCAACTCGCCTCCTTGGTTTGCGCAATCCTTTACGCCAAACATACCTAGTCGGTTGTATCGTAGGATCCAACTTCAATTACTCGTGTAATGTAATTGATTGTGATTTCCCGATGGTTCCTCGTGCGTCAAGGTCTTTTACGTAGGACACTATGTTTGGGTGGTCCATGGTTCTTTACCC